ACTGGGGAATTTGTGCTTTCATTTAGGAGGAAACTTTCACAGACAGAGAGCCTCTGTGTTGCACAGCCCCTAGCTGGAGGCTGGGGCCCAGTGTAAACAGGGAAGAGTGATCCCTGAGCTTGTGGGATTTCTAGTCCAGTGGCTGAGACAGTGTCAACAAGACATCATTATGGGCTGAAGGCTCACCGCGTTCATGGGAATCCACTGACATGGAATTTACACTGAGGGCAAATTTTATCATAAAGACTTCAATAATTCCTACAGTCAAAGTGGGAAGAAGGAATAGTTAAGGTGCAGCTTATACTGTTGAAACCAAAACTTAAAATAAGGCAGTGTTATAAAAAAAGAACACTGTAAAAACCATTGCAAAGATCCCGCCCTTTATACTAGTCACCCCGCTCTATAGACCTCCATGTAGAGGAGCTAAATCATTGTATCCTAGTAATCCACTGTGATCTATGACAAGCCATTGATGTTATTCTATCTTGCACTTTTGTCAAACCATTTATGTGACTTTAATAAACATAGTAAACTTGCTGATTAAAAAAACCAGAATATAGGAATTATAGCATAAGGCTTGTTTTTCACTTTCTTCCAATTGCCCTTTTTTTTTTTGGTACTGGGGATTGAACTTGGGAACTTGCACTTGTGAGACAGGCAGTGGATCCACTGTGCTAAATCCCCAGCACTTGCCCTGGCTTTTAAAAAGTCACAAGTCCACAAAAACTATTTATCACAATAATAAAGTAACTTTGAGGAAAAAAGAAAAATGTCACCCTACAGTCTTGCCTCCTGTTCGGCATTTCTGAAACTTTTTTTTTTCGTAGTCACTTGTCTTAGTGGCTGGGTACAAATATAATTTTTCTCAATAATTATATGCATCAGTCCTATAATTTCTAACATAGAAAATTTACTTTCTGCCAAATGATGTTATTTTCTGTGATCTTCACTTGGAATGAAATAAACCCTGTTAAAAATAATATAAAATTACTGTCATTCAAAAGATATTTTTTACTATAAACACATAAATAAAAAATGCCTAAATCTTTTTCAACTAAATCTAACAAAGAAAATAGATGTATATATATACATTTGTTGTATAAGTTCAACAGAGGAAGAAATGATTACAGTATTTGTATTTGATGTTTTCTTTCATATTAAAGACAGTTTAATCTTAGATTTTCCAATTTCTTAATAAATATGTTTGCACACTAGCCTGTTTCTCCAAACCTGTCCTTCAAATTCCAAGCTCTACTGATTAAGTATTTGACATGGAAATCAATTCTCTGTAGATCAACAGTTATAATACCTTTTTTGCACATAAATGTGAATTGAACTATTAGGCATAAAATAGAAAGCTTCTATAATGAAAAAAAGTGGCTATATAGATTTTAAGAGATCTAGTGTGTTGAAGGGCTGGGGATTTAGCTCAGTGGTTCCACTGCTAAAAAAAAAGATCTAGTGTTGAGATGACTTTATTTTTTCGTTGGTAAGCTTTTTTATTTAAAAACATTTTAAATTAATTTTATTGGTACATTTAAGGTATACAATATAATGACATTCATCATCGGAAATTTGCACCTTTACATAATCCGTCTTGGTTCTTATTTTTTTCCCCCATTCCCTTGTCCTCCCTTCAGTCCCTCCCCCTCCCTATCTACAAAGACTTTATTTCCATTTTATTCTTTTTTTCATGTTAATTCCATTCCCATCTTTCTTTTCCCATACCTCTCCCACTTCCCCTTCCCCTTTGCATCCTTTTTTCCTATTTCACATTTATCTATTATACCTTTTAGTCCTTGTTTATGCTCTCAGTTTCTCACACTAGAGAAACTATTTGATATTTACACATATGTGTCCCATTTATTTCACTTAAGAGTATTGCCCATCAACAGGAGACTGGATAAAGAAAGTGTGTGTGTGTGTGTGTGTGTGTGTGTGTGTGTGTGTGTGTTTATAAAATGGAATACTACTCAACCACAAAGAATGAGAAGCTAGAGACATTTATAGCCAAATGGATGCACATTGAGGCCAAACTCTTAAGTGAAGTAAATGGATGGTAAGCTTTTAAAAACAAGTATTCTCTTTTCATGGAAGGAAGTAGGTGCTATGGAGGAAACAAGTTGCAGGGGATGAAAACACTGCTTGCTGAGCAGTTTCAGTGTGCCGGGCACCATCCTTGGCATTTGCCTAAGGCACTGTGCTGCTTTCATTTTACAATTGAGACTTAGTGAGGTCAACAATACTTCCTGAAGTCATTTGGCTAATGGTAAGTGGAGGTGCCAGAAGGTATGGATTCATCCTATTTCAACACCTATGTGTGTCCTTAAAACCAGGTTATTCTGATTTGATGTTGCTCCAAATCAGTGTGTTCAGGATTTGCTTCTCCACTTGGCAAAATTTTGGAAAGTAGAGCTCTGATTTAGATGGTAAGGCACTTCTGGCCCATGGACCAATTGTGCTTAGTATTTTTACAAACTGTCAGCTGGAGACATTTGGATTTGAAGATGGATCTGAGATGTCCTTGGACTACTGGATCCGATTAAATTACCATATTAACTGAACACAGATTTGATAACACATTTTTAAGTCTATCCACTGAGTTTTATTGACCAAAATCTAAGTAGGTATGTTCATGGTATGTTTATGACTTTTAGCATTAACAGCATTGAAAGTTAAATTGATATTTGTTTAACAATTTGGTTAACCTAGAGGGTTGGTAAACTAAAGCTAAAATCTTCAAAGGGAGATGTGAGTTGAGGCTTTATTTCTTGAATTTAGTAAACACCTTTAAAGGAGTCTCTGATCTCAGCAGCAACGATTGAAACACGGACATAGAATCAGCTTGCCCAAGTCCTCTTTGTTAACAAGTGTGGGGCAAGATTCAAACTCAACTTCAACTCCCTGCAAAGCCTATGTTTTCCCTACCACACTCTGCTTTGCTAAATGAATGAAGCTTTGCTCAAACTTACACAAAAGCCCAAATCTCAAATGTCTATTTGACGTGAGAATCAGAGAGGGTCTCAGGTGGTTTAATACTACATTTTTATGGGGAATTGGATGGAAGAAGAGTTATGCATTATGTGGGGAGAAAAAGCAAATGCTGTCTTTGTCTTGGGTCTTTCTACAGCTTCCACTTCTTGAATGGTAGACTTGGCTAAAATTCTTCTTATGGCTCAGGAGTTGGTTGGGACCCAAATAAACAATACAATTGTCAAAGACCCAGGGATTCTGCATTCATCTTCTTGGGGTGAGAAAACATCATTTGTACTTGTATCTATGTGCAGCTTTAGTTAACCTTAATACTTACGTCTGCTCTATGTTAAAGCAGGATATCCTCAAGAGGTTAACTGCTCGTGCTTGATGCAATGACTCAAAGGGCTACCTTTACAGAGGTGGACTTAGATAGAATTGCTGCCCCCTGCAATCACTTTGTCTTTGTCCATCTCCACCTCTTATGGGGGTGGAGGTGTCCTAGGACAGTGTTTTGAAAGTTACATTCTGAGAGACAGAGGAGTTTCTGCTTTGCAAATGTTCCATTTTAATACATGTAAGCATCGAAATAGATGGAGCCTACTTTCTCAACCTCCAAGGATGAAGTCTGGTTGAATAGGGACTCCCATAGCAGGAAGGTCAGGAGACGGGAAGATGGAAATAGCAGCGAAAGCCAGTGTAAGTGGAACACAGCAAAAATAGCAAAGTGGGAAGACTAGAGAATTTGCACAAATGCCAAGCCCTAAGCATGTTAGTGGTACCAATGATATGATGGAGTCTTGGTAAACTTAAGAGTTGTGCTAGGGTGTGTTCCTACTAAACATGTCAGTATCAATGATGACAGAGGATAGGCTTTTCTGAAAATGTGTGTGCACATGTGTGTGTGCATGTGCACGTGTGTATCTGGCCCCAACATTTTCTCCTCATTACTCCACACATTGTGTTCTGTATGATAAGCAATTAGAAACTTTCACTAGTAAAATCATTCCTCTTGGCCTTTCTTCCTTCTTTTCCTCACCCATATTGGTCAGTTTTTAAGTATTTTTCTTCAGAAAAAACTTCTTTTATCCAAACTGCATCAAAGGTCCCATTTGTTGGTTTTTGGAACATGCTGTAGTTATCTGGATTTAAATACCCATTACCACATGGTACTTGCTTGTGTGGTTAATCACCCACAAGTAGAACTAGACTACAAACTTCTTGAAATCAAGTGCTATGTTTTATTTGTAATTTACATCTACTACAGTATAATTGATATGTTATAAATGAATAACTGGGTACTTAAGTTTCTGAAATACTGGAGTTTAGAACAAAGAGAACTGCATTGCATAGAATGAACATTTACTTTGCTGAAGAAGGTACTGTAATCCAGAAGCTACTTGTGCTCAGCCTTGGGTTGGTTGAAAATAAAGGAATAAGATTGCTCACAAACTTTGTGAAAGTATTTATAAAAAACATTTGGAAGTGGCACTCTCCTCCACACATCCTTCTGCAAGTGAGCTCATTGCTGTGTAGCACTTTTAGGAGAGAGAAACATTAAACCAAGGTGGGGCTCTTGTATTCCCAGTTACTCATGAGGCTGAGGCAGGAGAGTTCAAGGCCACCATAGGTAAATTCGTGAGATCCTGTTTAAAATGGAGGAGGAGGAGGAGGAGGAGGAGGAGGAGAAAAAGTAATTAGCAATGCTTTCGATCTGACAACTCTATTCTCTCACTACATATGATTATCAGCCATATGTAGCCACAGACAGCAAGTTAGCAAACTGAGAAACTTGAACATTTAAATACACATTTATTAAAATTATCTTAAAGATCAAAAGACACTTCAGTAACACTTAAAATGTGATAAGGAACCAATCAAGGAAGTTGGATGAGTCAGGTTTGGCCTCAGGGGCGGGCCGTGGTTGCACGTTGTGGAATTTCCTCTGACATAATGCGAGGATGAGGGTGCATGAATTTTCTAGTGTTGGGATGATATAAAAAGCCATGGGAGCTCTCCATCCAGCACAAATCCTCAGAAGCAGCAGAACACAGGAGCTTCGAGCTTCGAGGACAACAGACACAGGAAACCGGAAGAAAGCAGCTCACCGGAGTAAACATGCCTTCCAAGCTCGCGCTGGCCCTCTTGGCAGCCTGCCTTCTCTCTGCAGCTCTGTGCCAGGGTAAGCAGTGTTTCTGTCCACAGTGTTCTTCTGGGCCTAATTGTGGCCCTCACAGACAGCAAGATCAACCTTCATGCATAGATAATGAGTATCAGGAAGGGAAAATAATCTCTGCAGCTATTTAGTGTATATTTAAAGTTTTATTTTCTTATAAAAGGAAAAAAGTTGATGAATATGAATATTCTGCTCTTATAATTAATACTTTGCCATATATATGTATGTGCAAAATGTATGTACATATATATATATATATATATATATCTCCATTTTCATATATATATGAAAACTGTAATTTGCAGAATATCCTGGTGAGGGCCACAGTTACCAAAATTATCTATTATTATTGGGAAAGATAACTCAACTCAATGTAGTACTTTCTTGACAAACCTCAGATAACTATCAATTCCAGTTTCGTTTAAGTATATCCTGATTATAAATCTCTGTCACTTCTGTAAAGACTTTACTGGAGTTGTGTTTAGAGCATGTAGTTTTAAAATTTTTTCTTTTAAGTGTTGAGGGTTTTACAGACATGTAGCATCTCTGTGTCCTTCACTTACATTTTCTATTAATTCTTTCTGAATCAGTTTGCAAATATCAGTTTTCCTGCAACAAATAGCATTCTGGTGTTGTAGAGGATTATGTGATATTAAGTAAAAGAAAGGGGCAATGAGCGTATCAACATAACACCAAATTCGCACAGAATGCTATTCCATGTTTTCAGTGCTAACTGTCTTCAGAGCAAAGAGTAGAACTGTGGTCAAAGGCTATAGGAAAATATCTGACCTTCATTGTCAGGAATGAACTCAGTGGAAACGTGAAGCTTTTCCTAGTCTCCAGACAATCGTGTTGGGATCACGAGGGAGTCATTAGCAGAGCCATACCTGTTGGTGGACTCAATCCTTAATCCTTTCCTTTTTCTTATTTTTCACAGGTGCAGTTGTGGCAAAAGTTGGTACAGAGCTTCGATGCCAGTGTATCAAGATTCACTCCACTCCTTTCCACCCCAGATTTATCAAAGAATTAAGAGTGATTGAGAGTGGACCACGCTGTGCCAATACAGAAATCATGTAAGTACTCTCAAAACCATTAGAAAATGTGCTTTAGCAAACCTAGGAGCGAGGAAAGTGGAAGTATCCAGGAATGCTCCAGGCACTAGGAGTAAAGTAGTGAGCAAATCAGGACAGAAATTCTTGCCTACGTATTTCCTCTGGGTACCATTGATGCCTGGTAGCTTACAGTTGCTTTGGACTTGGGTTTTCATGTCTACACTTAAAGAACCGTGATTGGATAATGAAACCTAAATCTCGATGGTGATGTTAACCCCGCCTCTCATTTCAGTGTGAAGCTCGTTGATGGAAGAGAGCTCTGCCTGGACCCCCAGAAACAGTGGGTGCAGGTTGTTGTGGAAAAATTCTTGAAGAGGTAAATTATTGTTGTTTTTTAAAATTTCACTTGTTTATTCTGAGATGTACAATTTAAAATCCAGCCTATACATTTCCCGATGTTGCTACAAAATCCTGTCTCTATTGAAAAGAAAAACATAGCAGCAACTGTGAATTTTGCCATACTTTGATGTGTCCACGGGAGCTTGGTTTATGCCCATGCCATGTCATTAGTTGTTCCCTTTTATTCCCCAAAATGTCCCGCAGTAGATGGCAAGTTACCTAGTCTCCCCATTTACAAGCCTGAAATCGCAGGGTCTTTCTAACACATGACTGTCTAAGACTGTATTAATTATTTAAGGAAATAGATGTTCAAGAACTCAGTTTTCCTCCTTACTAGAACATTCATAACATTCAATTTTTAAATTCTATTTTATCTATTTTCAGGGCTGAGAACCAAGATTCTTGAAAAAAACATGCATTGTCCGTGACATCCAAGAACCCCTCAGTGAAGACGCCTGTGAAATTCAAACAAATCTACTTCAGCTCTTTGTATATGGTGTGGGTCTGCTGTGAGGTTGCCAGATAAAACACTGGATGCCCAGTTGAACTTGAATTTCAGAAAACAACAAATAGTTTTTTGCACTGTACCATGCAATATCTAGGACATACATATATTAAAAGTTATTTATTTGAATATGGCAAGCGATAAATCATTTTGTAAATATCCGAACATTTTAGATATTGCATGGGACATTCTATCAAGAACAAAATTGAAATTGAGATCAAATTCTAGGAGAGTAACTGGCTTTCTGCCTCAGGAATTGGTTGGTAGAAATGTGATACTGCAAGCATTAGATGATAAGACAGTGATGTTTTCTGTAAATTTAAATTTAGCTGGAAAATCCTGATGATTATTATGAATTGAATCTGCATCCTAGTTCTGCTGGCCAGGACCACGATTCCCTGCTCACCTGCACCTTGGAGGCCGCTTTATTCCTCCCTCGCGGAAGGAAAATCGGCCACCACCCTTCCTCAGCAGGGTGTCAGGGGACGCATGGAAGCACTTTACGGTTTTTCATGATCACGTAACTTATCTTCAAGTGTAACTGTTCCTCTATTTATTATTTATGTATTTATTTATGCATCAAATATTGTGATATTTCTGCACGACTTTGGAAAGATAGAGAAGGAAGAAGCACAGTTGATATGGGAGTGTGATGTCAGAGTTAATTAATATTTATTTTAGATACTGAATGATGTTAAGTTAGAGAACTTTTGATCGAGCTATTCAAATTTGGCAAAAAGTAAATGCAAACAAAATGACAGCCAGTTACATTTTTATTTTTATTTAAAAAAATATTTTGGTGCGAGTGTGTTTTTTATCTGAAATTTTAGTTGTGCTGACAAGCACAGTTTGGATATCCTCGCATTTGTCTTTGAAATTTTAAGATGCCTTTATGCTTCCCCAAGGATATTCTGTATTGCTTTTGATACTATGGAAGTGAAAATGTAGACATAAAATTTTAAAAATATAATTTACTGTCAAAGTCATCAGGTGTTTGTCTTTCCCTTGTAGATTAAATCTATTAAGAATCTCTTTGTTTTATTTAAAGTCACATTTTGACTTAGAATTTATAAATATTTACCCCTTAAAATTTTATATATTATGTTGAAAATTATAAAACTTTATTGTAGAAAAACAGAATTCCTTTCAACAATGGGTTAAAAAGAGTATGTTGAAATTTTCTTAATTTTCCAACTGTATTTCATTTTACTAATAAAGATGACTTCAGATTTTCAATCATCTGGTCTCTATGTCTGATCATTTGAGCATAGCTGGGCACTGAATTAAAGGAGCATGATAGGATACTTCATAAGATGCTTATCTGTAACAGGGAATAAAGCTGAAATATATGAGGAAAGGGGCTTCAAATATGATCAAAGACTAAGCATACTGAAAACAATCTGAAAATTAAAAATACAATAATTAACTAAATAATTCAGCAAAGGAGTTTCATAGTGGATTAGACACCAACCACTTCTAGACTTCATAGATATGATCACGTCGAAGGTTTCACAATTGGAAGATTATCCTGGATTATTGGCGTGGGCCCTATAATTGCATAGATTTCATAAGAGGGAGGCAAGAGGGCCAGAGAACAGGGAAGAATGGAATACTGGAAGGGAAGGTTGAAGTGCTGCAAGGAAAACCCATGAGTCAGGGCAGGCAAATTACTCGAGAGGCAGAAAGATAAGGAAAGGGCCTGTGTCCTGATTCCCTCGGGATGAATACAGCACACTTACACCTTGAAGTTAGGACTGCAAGACAGTATGCTGGGTTCCTAATATCACAAGATGTGAAGGGGTGATATGCTCTGGCAGCATTAGGAAGCTAACATGACTGGCAGGCTACCAATTCCAATTGATAGTAAGTACTTCATACTCCTAACTTCAATGCCTGTATTAGAAAAGAAGGGAAGCAATAAAGAAGAAAGGAGATAACTAATAGAAAGGATTCACATGTCATTTTCAAAAAGTAATAAAAGTCATAAACATATAAAAATTGAAAGTACAAGGAGAAGTTGTGATTAATTTAATAGCATTGCATTCTGAAACTTAGATTATTTAAACAAATACCTACAATATTGTCTTTCCAAATCTAATTTAAAAATTTTAAATAACATAAAATCTTGTGACAATTGAATAAATACTAATTAATTCTCTATTAAAATAACACTAAAATGAAAACATTTAAAAATTATAGTATATCACAATTAAGAAATGAGAAGTTACTTTAATAGTTGAAGATCAATGACTGAAATTCATTATAATGATAGATACCAAGAGAGGAAAAAACTTAATGAATATTTTAGATTCCAATATAACGAGATATGAATTAATATCCATTCACATTATAAAAAGAAAACCTTTAGAGATGAGAGGGAAACTTTAAATATGGAAACTTATTAAATTAAAAACTGATAGCAGATTAATATTTAATGGTAAAATGTTAGAATCATAAGATTTAAGATTGGGACAAAATAAGGACTGTATTCTCGCTATTTCTATTCAACTTTTTATTAAAGTTCTGCATAATATAGGGAGACAAGAACAAATATTTTCTTTTTAAAAGTACTATGAATAAGTAGAAACAAGATAAATTATTCATTAGTCATATGATTGTCAAGATAGAATTTAAAAGAACATAAAGATAATTGCTTTAACTTAAAGAATTCAATTGAACATGAATCTCGGTACACTAGGAAAAGCAGTTAAAATTACCTTGTATAAATTAGCATAGTCATCTAAATCAATAGGAAGAAATTTAACAATGCCATGTAAGAACTTTATGAAAAAACTCAGGCTTTATTGAAAGACATCAAAAGAGACAATATTGTAAAACAGATGCTACTTCTTCCCCAATTAATTTATGGATCTAATGTAATTTTAAGAAATCCCTACCATCTGTGTGTATAACTTGTTAGGGTGATTTGAAAGTTTGTTTTAGAGTGAAAGACTCAGGGCTATCTGAGACATATTTGAACAAGGTACAATATATCCTAGTAGATATTGAGACTGGTAAGCCCATAGACTTTCCTCAGTTGTCTTTAGGGATAAATGTAGTTATTGTCCCGGATAGAAAGAATTAGATGAGGTGGCTAATTGCATTGATGCATAGACAATCAATCTTGTATTGGTGAGGATTTGAAAGACTGCGAAGAAGACATAGGCTCAGATATTTTCATGAATCATCTTTATGTAATCGGATGACCTGAAGTCCAAAAGGGTCACCTGTTCCACTCATATTTAAAGATATGCTATAAGACCTTTTCCACAAGAAAGTGTCCTCTCTTGTTTTCTCACCAGTTGGCACAACATAACAACCTACTTTGCCTGTGATATTTAGCTCCTTACAGTCACTCTAGGTACCTGCAGCTGCTATTCTCTCCATGGGTTACTATCACCTGTGGTATGGAGCATAACCCACTTTCTTTTCTAATTTTAAATGCACGTTAACTCATAAGTGGTTAGCATAACAGAATTAACAAAATACTTATGAATGATGCACCAGCAGGAACCAACTAGAACTCAACTCTAGTATTGGCTGTTCAGAAACATTTTAATTGCTTCCTGCTAGAGGATATTTCTCCTTCCTAGATTTTTTCTCAGGACAAATTGTGGGACTCTTACTTTTTCCTCAGAGTTTTGCCTAAATTTCATTTCCAAATTCCCTTCTTTTAACTCAAGCCATCTTGTTCCAGCCCCCTTTGCAATTTCTCATCCTTAGAATCTCATAGATAAATGAGCAAATGAAGAGTTTCAATAAAATAATAGCACAGGCTCAGGTTGAAAGCTGGTCACCAAGGGTTATGCAATATAACCAGCCTAGACTTCTGCAAGAAAAACTAAACTAGATTCAGCATGATGAGTAGGAGTCAGCCACACAAAGAGAAGAGGGATGTGTAAATGTGTAGGGAGGAGCAGTCTAGACAGCAAGAGAGAAGTCATCTATAGGTAAGACCATGACATGATTAGAGAAGCGAAAGAATTTCAGCAGTGGGCCTGGAATTTGATATGAAACAGAACCTTGCTTGAAAGGTTTTAGAATTAGAACTGAAAACTTTTAGTGAATTACAACCAGTCTCACTTCAAATTGTGAGCTCTTTGTGCTACTGTTGCTCAGACTGATTTTCCAAAATGAAGTGGAAAGCCACAAAAACAACCCAAAAGTCTAATCTTAAGAGATTTCTAGTGCCAACTGAAGATTGAATCAATGAATTAATTCACAACTGTGTAGCCAGGAATGGTGGTGCACACCTGTGACCCCAGCACTTGGAGGTGAGGCAAGAGGATCAATGTGAGTTCAAGGCCAGCCTAATTACATAGTGAGACCCTGTCTTAAAACATGAAACAAGCAAACAAACCCAAAACAACCTTATATAAGACCTCCTAATGTATTAAATATGTCTGTGTAATCTGTGCAGTGCCCCACCCTGAAAGCAAAAATTTTAAAAAATGGTACCAACTTGAATCTTAGTAAAGAATATTTTTTTAAAAACCCACTTCCCAATTTCATCTTTATCACCTTTAAATGCCAACTAATTCTCTTCATTCACTCATCTATAATTTCACTTACTATAAAACAATAAAAAACTTCCTCAAAAAGGCAATCACTTAGATCAAATGGAATTTCAGCATTATACACTTATAAAATTTAAAGATCCAATCAAAAATTGGGTATCTGAAAAGAACAGACATTTCTCAAAGAAGTAAAAGCAGCAAATTAATGTATGAAAAAATGTTCAACATCACTGGTCATTTGAGAGATGCAAATGAAAACAACACTGAGATTCCACCCAGAAATAATGGTTGCTATCAAGAAATTAACCAATAACAAATGCTGGTGGGGTTTTGGGGAGAAAGGAACCCTTCTTCACTGTTGTTTGGAGTGCAGACTGTTGCAACCACTATGGAAATCAATATGGAGATATCTCAGACAACAAGGATAAGGGTCCCATTTAACCCAGCTATTCCTCTGCTAGGTATCTTCCCAAAAGAATTAATAGAATCATACCACAAGTGATATAGGCTCACTCATGTTTATAGCAGCACAGTTTGTAATAGCTAAAACTTGGAAACAGCCCAATTGCCCATCAACTGGAGACTTGATAAAGAAGAAGAAGAAGAAGAAGAAGATGTGTGTGTGTGTGTGAGTGTGTGTGTTTTAATAAAATGGAGTACTACTCAACCATAAAGAATGAGAAACTAGACATTTATGGCTAAGTGGATGCATAATGAGGCCATACTCAAGTAAAATTAAGACGTGTAAATACTGAATAGTTTCTCTGGTGTGAAAAACTAAAAGTGTAAATAAGGATCAAAATGTATAACTCATATTGTGTACTAGGAAAAGAAAGGTCTAAAAGAGTAGAGGAAGTGGGAGAGGGAGGGGAAAGGCAAAAAGGGAAAAGAAAATAATATGAGAAAAGGAAAAACATGGAAACATTATTTTTGTAAATGAGGAAGGGTGGAGGGGGTGAAGGGAGGGCTGGTCAACAGGGAAAAAAATAAGAACCAAGATACGTCATGTAAAGATACAAGATCCCAATAATGAATGTAACTGTATTGTATACCTAAAATGTACCAATAAACTTAATAAAAAATAAGCCAAAGAAGTAAAAAATGAAAAAGGAAGATAGACTATTCAAGCAAGGTTAAGGGAAAAAGG